GTATATTTCCATGTACATATGTATGTACATAGAAAACCCTAGCTACATATTTATCCACATTCACTCAATAAACATGTAGGAACTACTGAGGCAGATTTTTAAAAAACCATATCTGGAAACTAGCCTCGTTATTGTACACTCATCCAGCATTTGTGAGTGTGTGTGTGTGTGTGTGTATGTGAGTCTATTTGTGTGTCTGTGTCTACCTTGATTCCATCGAATCTCATTCTTTAGGGACATTGGGTTGAAAGAAAATCCATCCTTCTTTGGCCAAGGAGGATGAGGCGTTAGTTAATTAAATTCCTTGTAGGCGTTTTTCCTGATGCAATAATACTAAATCCAGGGATAAGTTGTCTTGGCAACTGCTTTGGCAACTGTTACTAACGTGCTTTTTAGGCTTGTGAATAAACATATTTGAGAATGTAAATCACAAGCTGAGGCTCAACAGATTTTTTTTTCTTGTTCTTCCAAAGAAACTGGACACTAATTGATAATACAGTGTACTTCCATTTGTGTTTGAATAATGCGGCAACATTTCTAGCACAGTCTTTGGACGATTACATATATTATTCATGTTTTCAAAATGTAATGAAGATGCATACTTAATATCAGTTTTCCAATTAAACTTTATAACCAAGCTCAGAGATGGTAATAGTTTTTGGCAGAGATTTTTAATTTTCTTCAAATGCTTTCTTGGGATTCACAAAACAGCTTCAAGCATAAACATGTCTAGCTTGGGAGAAAGGGAGGGGCAAAGACAATGCAAATGTGATGACATACATATGCAAAAATTATTGTGGTGATGAATCTGGCAAAAATTTGACTATAGTCCTTTTTCTCTGGTAATTTCTTTTTAATTAAAAAAATACCTTTTAGCATTCAATGCACTGAAAAAGTTGGTTAGGGAGTCAATTTGTTAACTATCAATTTTGCGGCCAGCTAATGTGCACTGATGTCCTTTCTTAACACTAAAATAATATGTACCAATAGAACTATTTTAGTGGATAATAAAGTAATCCTCACTTACAGAGGCTTCATATTGAGTTCTTTACAGAATCCTAGGGAATTAAACAATTATGCAAGAGTAAAAGGGGCCCAAGATAATTTTGTCTGAATACGTCACCTTATAGAAATGGGTATTGAGATTCAGATAAATCATAAATATCCTAAGCCTATGGTTAACTATGATCAGGCCGTGTGTTCCCCAATGTAACATCATAGCAGCCTTCTCTGAACATATTTCTGGCCAAAACAACCCCTTCATAATATTTTTTCTTCCTTATGGAGATGACATGGTATGGTTTAAAAATATGGACTTCTGGGTTATATAGATGTTGGTTTAAGTTTGGATTACTTACATTGAAAACAACAACAACAACTAACTTCCATAATCTGGATGCTCATCTAATTCTTATGATCAGGTAGTGACTTTCCTGTCTATAAAATACGTGGAGGGTTTCTACCAGTTGGAGCTTATAAAGATGACAAAGGGCTAAAAAATTCCATAGAGAGCTTCAACAGTAGACTCAATCAAGCTGAAGAAAGAATCAATGAGCTCAAAGACAGGTCATTTGAAATTACCCAGTCAGAGGAACAAAAGGAAAAAAAAAAGAGTAAAGAAAGCCTGTGGGAATTATAGGACACCATCAAGCAAAACACTAAAGATGACAAAGGAAATTTGTGAGACACTGATCCCACTCTGCCATGAGAACTTTATAAAGCGTACAACACATGATTATAGTCAATAGCTCTACAGAACAAAACGTGTTTTACAATTGGTTTTCATTTAGTGCCCACCGGTGAACTGTTTCATTTTGGGTTGCTAAGGAAGAGGCTGCTGGCTTGTTCTGTCTGAATCTTTTTCTCTGTGACCCACTTTGCTCTTTTTCCATGTAGCTTATTGGGTAACAAAAACCCTGCTTCTTAGTTCTTTGTATGTCACAGTTTAAAAAGCCTGCAAGATACTACAGCTCTCTCTCTCTAGCACAATGTGCTTAGCTCTTTTTTTTAAGTCCAGCACTTCTGAAGTATATGATATGTTCCTTCAAAGAGAGTCACTTACCAGGGCAATACTGTTCAATAGAACTTTGATGGAAATGTTCTGTGTCTGCACTGACCACTATGTTAGCTACTAGCCTCATGTGACTATTGAGCATTTGACATATGCCTACAGTGATGGAGGAGCTGAATGTTTAATTTTACTTAATTTACATTTAAGTTTAAATAGCCATATGTGAATAGAGCCTACTATATGGTACAGTGCAGGTCTACAAGTTGAGTAGAGATATATGGGTAGCCTGGTTCTCTATCGCCCTTTCTTCCCACTTTCCTCACCTCTTTCTACTTCAAGTTTTTTGTCTACATGATAAAGTAATCTAGGCCAAATAGCATTCCTAGTGTTATTATTCCAAGGAAACATATGTGCTTTTTAATGGAATCCTTTTTGGGGCAGTCTAAACTGGAAAAACAAGAATTTCAAGCTCTGTAGAATCCTGGTAGGGAAAATCCTTTGAGGTTAAAGTGGTTATCTTGTGTCCCTCAAACCACACCTGTGGATAATTATTCACTGCCAGTTTAGAACACAGGCCTAGTTGAGCATCACCATTATTATTGATGTTGATATTTCTTGATCTGCTATAGTAATATCTTACCCTCTTTAAATAATCTGATATATGTTTTAAGACAAATAGCTTTTACTATTTTATTTTCTTCTGGAGAAAGGATCTCACTCTGTTGCCCAGGCTGGAGTGCAGTGGTATGCCGTCACAGCTCACTGTAGCCTTGAACTTCCGGCCTCAAGTGATCTTTCTGCCTTGTCCGCCCAAAGTGCTAGAATTACAGGCATGAGCCACCGCACTTGGATGGGACTCTGACATAATTTGGGTGTTGTCCCCCTCCAGTCTCATGTCAAAATGTAAGCCCCAATGTTGGAGGTGGGGCCTGGTGGGAGGTGATTGGATCATGAGTGCAGATTTCCCTCTTGGTACTGTCATCACAATAGTGAGTTCTCATGAGATCTGGTTGTTTAAAAGGGTGTGGCACCTCCCATCCCTCTCTCTTGCTCCTGTCCCAGCCATGTGATGTGCCTACTTCCACTTTGCCTTCGGCCATGATTGTAACTTTCCTGAGGCTGCCTGGAAACCAAGCAGATGCCAGCATCATCCTTCCTGTATAGCCTTCAGAAGCATGAGCCAATTAAACCTCTTTTCTTTATAAATTACCCAGTCTCAGGTATTTTATTACAGCAATGCAAGAACACACTAATATAGACTGTATTCTAAAAACAGGTAACAATTTCATTTTTCCAGCTCTGCTCATCCATTTCTAGTCCCCCATTCCCATGAGTTACGTAAATACAGATAGCACCTGCACCACAATAGTTTCTTTAAATCTTGTGCTCATTCACTGCAGGAACACCACACTTCCTTCTAGTAGTACTGTAGGAAAACAAAAAGAAACAAGATGAACACCGGCATGCGTTTTCTGGGGTGTAGCCCTTAGAACGGTATCCTAGTTTCAGTACAAATTTCTCTCTTTCATGTTTGGTGTCTGGCTTGGAGATTTTTTGCGGGGAGAAATTTTTGTATCTCTGCTTCTGAAGTCAATCCTTTAACAGTATTTGTGTGTGTGTGTGTGTGTGTGTGTGTGTGTGTGTGTCTGTGGATAAGGTCTCACTATACTGCTCAGGCCAGTCTTGACTCCTGGCCTCAAGTGATCCTTCTACCCTGGCCTTCGCTTGAACATTGATATTTGAGTACATGACCTGTATCATTGAAGACCAGCTCCGTTCCATCAAGATTTGGCTTTCTAGACCCTAGCTGGCTCATCGCTCCGTCAAGTAAGAATCAAAGGTCAGAGCCTTCTTGAGAGCTGAGTACAGGGCTGTTGTCTAAAGCTGTAGTCCAATCAATTACACCCTAAAGTGGTGCCCAAATGTACCATTTAACTTACCACGATGACTGCACTGGTCCATTCCGCAATGTTGCCAACTCCTCTTAGCTGCCTAAAAGATCCTTTTTAATGCTTTTTTCTAATGGTCTGAACAGTCTGATTTTTTGTACCTTCATAAAATCCTTCACATCTAGAGTGGTGTGGTACCAAAATAATTTCTGCTCCACTGATCACTCACTGATGAGCAATTTGATCAATTAGCTGAACATTTAAAGAAAATTGTAGTGTTGATAAAGAAAACCAATCTCCACTCATTAAATTAATATTTTGGTGCTGTTTTAGAACTTCTGTCTGGGCACATTTTTTACAGCAATAAAAATTATTAGTGAGTTTTCATTATTAGCCTTCCTTGTAGATAAGGTAATTGAAGTGTAGGGAGTTTACGTAAATTCTGCAAGACTTCACAGCATATAGTGGTAGAGTTGGCACACAAAACCAGGTCTCTCTGGCCCCAGTTACACATATTTCAACTTAACACACATTTAATCCAGTTGAAAAAGCAGACGTATGTGAAGAATGTGATTCATACATTCATACCTGATATTTAGATTCCAGGTGCCTTTACCAGTGAGTCTAATCTATTCATTATAGCCGACCTGACAAGACTTGGAAATTAAGATATTTGTCTGAATTAGTTTGTGTCTTTGAAGAAAATGTATTTCTTTAATGGTATCACAAAGTCCAATTTTTCATGAAGTAAAAATTTCTATCAGCCAATTCATCCTCATTACGAAGTTAAAAAAATGTATATGCAGCTGGATGCGGTGGCTTATGCCTGTAATCCCAGCACTTTGGGAGGCCGAGGTGGGCAGATCACCTGAGGTTGGGAGTTCGAGACCAGTCTGACCAACATGGAGAAACCCCGTCTCTACTAAAAATACAAAATTAGCCAGGCGTGGTGGCACATGCCTGTAATTCCAGCTACTCAAGAGGCTGAGGCAGGAGAATTGCTTGAACCCAGGAGGTATAGGTTGCAGTGAGCCGAAATCGCGCCATTGCGCTCTAGCTGGCAGCAAGAGTGAAACTCTGCCTAAAAAAAAAAAAAAAAAAAAAAAAAAAAAAGTGTATGCTTGTATAATATATGTATGTGGGTATTTTGTTTCCCATATACACACATATAAGTCCAGTCTTGAAATTTGATATTTGTTCCTGAATTTTTCTTTTAGGATGGAAAGGAATTTCATTTTCTGAAGATACTGATTTAAAACGTTGGTTTTCAATTTGAGTTTATCTAGCAGCTTGCCTTGTGGCTTTGACTAAGACAATTAATTCCTGGGCCCTCCAGTTGTCCACCTAAAAAATGGGAAGGAAAGCTGTATTACTGTTTTTATATATATTTTTTTCTCATGGAAGTAAAGACTTACAAGTGGATTTTTAAAATATATATTTTATTTGACGTTCTGGGGTACATATGCAGAATGCGCATGTTACACCTAGCAACCCATCACCTAGGTATTAATCCCCACATGCATTAGCTATTTTTCCTGATGTGCTTCCTCCCCCAACCTCCCTGGGAGGCCCTGGTGTGTGTTGTTCCCCTCCCTATGTCCATGTGTTCTCAATGTTCAGCTCCCAATTATGCGTGAGAACATGTGGTGTTTGGTTTTCTGTTCCTGTGTTAGTTTGCTGAGGATGATGGCTTCCATTATAAGTGGATTTGACATAACCAATTCTTTGTCCCTGAGTACCTCGTCCTCTCATGGCCTCTGCCACTTGCTATTCAACAGAGATAAATCAATCCTGCTCATGTAAACTCCACGCCATACCCACTGTTCATGTCTGTATCTGTAGCATCGTCTTCATGGAGCATCCAGAATTCTCTTTTCCTTATAAATATTTATTTTCCAGAAATATCAGAATATACATAACAAGGAAAACCTAAGGCCATCTGAGATATATATATATACCTGTTTTAAGGAAGCTGGTGTCAGTGTCGCTCCAGAGTGCCCACAAGGTGGCAGCGTCTCAGAACATTAGGCCAGCGGAATTACTGGGTCCTGGCCTTGGCGGTTGAACTGGGCTTCATAGCTCAGTTATACTGAGATAATAGGGTCAAGTGTCTGCCCAGTGATAGCTACTGCGAGGTCCACCAGCCTCTAGAAGTCTAGAAAACCAATTTTTAACAGTATTTTCTAAAAAGCAGTAGCAACATCACTCTTCCATTTTAGAGTACTTTATTCAGAAAAAAAAAAAAAAAAAGCTTTCAGAATGCTTTATTTCACTTAAGAATGTAAAACCTACATTGGTGAGAAAAAAAAAAAAAAAAGGAGGGAGTGGACTCTTCCTTATATTTTCCTGTCATTCAAAGTCATTGATTCTCAACCTCGACTTTACATTAGAATATTTTGGGGAACTTTTAAATCACTCTCTGGGATAAGGGCCCAGAGATTAATTTTTGAAAGCACTGTAAGTGATTCTAAAGGGCATTCGAGGTTGAGAATCATCTTTTCAGTTCCTCTCCGTCCATTCATTCATTCACTCACCATTTATTGCATACTTCCTCATGTCAGCTTTGAGCAAGGAAATGGTGATGATGTAAAATGAGATTCCACAATTGCCCCCAAAGACCTTGCAAGTTAGTAATTCAATTTAATGGAAGTCAATTCAGCAAACATTTATCAAGCTCCTAGAACATGACAGGTACTATGCTAGATACTGAAACGGCAGAGATGAGAGCAATTCCAGCTGCCTAGCATTTATATTCTAGTGGACAGTGTGTACAACTTAGTATCAGATGAGGCAGAATGTGGCATTATTCATCTTTTACCTTTCTATAACATTTCACAGTAACACAAAACATTTTAACCAACTTATATAACTTAAGCTATATAACCCAATAATTCTTGAGATTTGCAAGCAGCTAGCTATCATTATCTGAAGTTCAGAGAGGAGACTAACATGCTTTGCCAATATGAAGCAGAATAAGTCATCATATCCAAGCCTAGGGACTCTACGATCAGTGCTTACTGCCTCATTTATGCTAGGCGTGGGGCTCAGAAAAGAGTGGTAGATTTTGAATGCATAAGTGAAGGTATTTGTCTTACGGTATATTTGTGCATTTGTCTTGGAGATTTTATCTCTGAGAGAGTGAGTAGAGATCATTTCTGTCTACACATTTCCTGAGATACTTCCTCCACCTAATCAAAGGCCTTTTCTGCTCCAGTCTTAATGTATATATTCTTTCTATATGCTCTCCTTCTAACTTTCACCAAAATGGTGAGCTCTAAAATTGCTCTGGATGTCTATTTCTGTGAAGAGAAAACTGAAAACATTTAGTTCTATCAGCAGATCTGGTTGTCATCAACTGCTGTCAATCACAGAGAGCTTTAATGAGGGGAGTGAAAATTAGTCCACATGTATGTAAAGAAGGCATACGAGTCTTATTTTTCAGAGATCTCCATTCTTTCAGCTAATAGAGTGTGAAGCCAAATGCCATCTGGATTAGGACTGGCACATGAGATAGTTGATCATGAACATGTTTTAAGAATTAACCTTATGGCAGATTTGGAGAGTTGACTCGTGAGGGAGTCAAGCGTGGGTGAATATCTTCCTTGTGTGGAGAACCAAAATGATATGGGCATCCTTTAGGGTCAATAAGCATAGGAAGATATTCCCGGGTAGCTTGTAAGTTTTATATTCCCACAATAGCAGAGAATCCACTCAGTGGTTGACTTCCAGATGATCCATGGCCTCTCTATTAGACAGAAGACTCTTACTAAATATCCCACCATGGCACTGTGGAATTGTCTGTCCTTTCCCTAAATGCTCAGCTTTATTAGGACTGTCAGATTTAGGTGCCATAGCCTAAGAGAAGCATGAATCAATTGGAATATATCCAGCAGAAAACATTCATATGATAAATGTGAACATCATTTAAAAGAACAATTGAGAAGCTGTGAAGTTTTAACCTAAAGCAGCAGAGACCCAGAAATGCAAATGCAAGCACAATAAAGTCAAATATGCAAACATCTATTTGTGCAAAAGGGGGTTACGCTTGTTCTGTCCAGTTCCAGAGAGAAGGAAAATGACCAGAGGTGGAAGTGACAAGGGGGAAAATTCCAGCTTATCTTGATATGGAAGAACATTAGAATTGAGCAGTAGAAGTAGTTGCTTCACAAACCCCCTGTTTTCAGAAGTGTTCAAGAACACTATGTTAAGAACGTCAAAATTCAGCAGGAAAGCCCTTCAGTCGCAAGAGTCAGCAGACCCAGTAATTTGGGAGCCAACTGAGTAATTTTTGGACCCATGAATTAGAAGAGAATGGCCTTGGCCTTATGCCAACAGGGAATACTTTGAGGACTCCCACTGTCCCTGTTTTGGGCCCTGAAATCCTTGTGTTAGTCATTTTTCTAGTTAGCAACTCTTTGAAGGCCTCAAAGACAGATGTGATAGCAGTCTTTTATCCAGGGGCTGAGACCGATCCCTGCCTAGTCCAACAGTTAGGACTTAGGAGAGGGGACTCTGGTAGATTTGGTCCAAATTAACAAGCATGGCAAAGGCTGATATGAAGCCTGGGGAGGAGGAGGTTCTGAAACTAAGAGCTGTGGGTGCCAAGTACCCACAGCTTGGCCCTAGTTGTCACTCCTGCCATTTGGAAGCTCACCTTTAAGAAGAGATGCTGACATCTTAGCAAGGCTGCAGTGTCCGCTGCTGCTCTCGGAGCTTCGCAATGCCGCCCAAGGACAACAAGAAGAAGAAGGACACTGGAAAGTCGGCCAAGAAAGACAAAGACCCAGTGAACAAATCTGAGGGCAAGGCCAAAAAGAAGAAGTGGTCCAAAGGCAAAGTTCGAGACAAGTTCAATAACTTAGCCTTGTTTGACAAAGCTACCTATGACAAATTCTGTAAGGAAGTTTCCAACTATAAACTTATAATCCCAACTGTGGTCTCTGAGAGACTGAAGATTCGAGGCTTCCTGGCCAGGGCAGCCCTTCAGGAGCTCCTTAGTAAAGGACTTATCAAACTGGTTTCAAAGCACAGAGCTCAAGTAATTTACACCAGAAATACCAAGGGCGGAGATGCTCCAGCTGCTGGTGAAGATGAATGAATAGGTCCAACCAACTGTAGATTTGGAAAAATAAAACTTTATTAAATAAAAAAAAAGAAGAGATGCTTATGTCTATTAGACTTTTATCATGGTGCATCTGGAAGTTTAGCTTAAAGAAATGATGACTCAGAAGTGGGAGTGGACATATGAGAAAGGCCCATTAGGTAGAAGAAGGGTTAGACTCTCTTCACCCAGCACTAGAGGAAGGAAAATCATCAAGGGTGGATATGTTGAGGGGACCAGGTTTCAGTATAATCAATAGCTGGGGGGACTTTAGAACTACTGAACAGTGGAAATAGCTGCTTTACAATAAGTCCAGTCTGTAGAGATGTTTAGGGACAGGTTTTCACTTCAAGAGGAGGAGCCATCATTCATTCATCATTCGTCCTTATTGAGTAAGAATTGAGATTAAATAAACTCTAATGTAGGAATTTGGATAAAATGTATTTTCTTGAAATTTTGTGAAACTACAGAACACTATTTATTCAACATTCCTGGATGCACTAAAAAGAATAGTTCTCCACAGGTATCTATAATTCTGATTGAATTGTCTGTGCCAGAAGAAACTGTTATCTCAGCTGAGGGCAGAGACTATGTATTTATTTTTCTCTGAATCCCTAGCCCATAGGACACTGCCTGCTATAGAGTAGGTATACAACAAATGTTTGTTGAGTGAATGTCAAATTAATTTTGTTAATTCTATTGCTCAAACTTGGACCGAGTCCCCTCTGGGTGTAAGGTATGCCTACTCAAAATATATTGATAGCTAACATTTATCAAATTCTTGTTATTGGCTAGGTGCCAGGATTTCATACACTATCTCATTCAATCCCTATGACCAACCCTCTTAAAAAGATCAAGTAGATGCTCTCACTACACCCTTTTTACTAATAAGGAAACTGAGGCATGCCGAGACCAAGTAGCTCCCCCATGGTTACACAGAGAGTGACTCGATGATACAAGATTTAAATTTAGATTGTGTGACTCCAAAGCCAACACAGTTCATTATTACAGTATAGTCTCAGTAAAGGAGTGATCCTTAATAGGGTAAAATATTTTAAAAATATAGCTAACAATTATTGCATGCTTTCTATATGCCAGGTCCTAAGCATTTGTCCATTTATTCCTCACATTAGCCTCACAAGGTAGGTGCTATTATTGTGCCCATTTTACAGATAACAAATAGAGTCCAGGATTTTTGGATTTGGGCTTATCAGACTGTCAAACTTATCCTCCAAATGTTATATGATCTTCTTCCATTTTTAGGGGTACTGAAGGAACAAGTATCCCCCAAAATAGAAGAAGAACAAGACACTGAAGGAACAAGAACATTTTGGGGGATACCGAAGGAACAAATCATGACTCCTCTTCTGTGAAGTGTGTGTGTTACTTTAAGAAAATTATATTTGGATTTGACCTGTCACTGGATCTCGGCTCATCCAACACTCTGTTAGGATAGGACCATTCCAAATGCTCTTTATGCATGCCTTCTGGGTATCAATTAGCTATGAGTTCAGAGGCAGGTTAGAGGTGACAAGGAAACTCACAAAGAACTGAAAAATTAGGATCAAATGGAGATGGGTTCGGGCGAGGCTCACTATTGCATTAGCTATAGGAATAGCTAATAAAGTCCCATATTTGGAGGTCACTTAACCTCTGCATAGCCTAGTTTCACCATCTATAAAATGGAGTAGCAGGAGTAATTATACCCCTTCCTTCTTATCCATTTTCTAATTAAAACTTGTAACTTTTTAAATGGGAAGAATCAGGTGTATTATAAGACAAATGGAATTAGATGGAGAAAAACTCGTGCAAGCCTCATTTTGTGATGTAGCCTAACTTTGCTTTATGAAACTAAGTCTACCTCAAAAGGGCATTGAAGCCTCAGAATCCCACAAAATATGGCCCCTGACTCAGAGCTGGAAGAACTCAACCAGATAGATGGGCAGACTTAGATTGTCTTGGGTCTGGAGCTTATACAAATTTTGGACCCTCTTTAGGTAAAAGAATACAAAATTAGACCCAAATGAGATTTTGTCACAGATGTTTAATGTGGATTAAATTAAGTCACATAAGAGGTAATTCACTCCTTTTAAAATACCTTCATCTAATCAAAATCAATCATACTTCTGAAATGATTCCTGATCTCATACATTAAGTTGAAATCAAAGGCTGTGGATCACGTTATAATATAACGAGCTTGGCTTTGTGGAAAGAGGCATAGCTTCACTCTTCCCCCATTGGTTTGATATATTTGAGGTCAAAAGCCTTCTTGCTGAGAAAAAGAGAAAAGGGCTGATAAGTGCAAGAGTGCATGTGTGCCTGCAACAGCAATTTGGTGCAGGGAGTTCTGGAGGACAGCCAGGATGTGAGCCATGGCAGAAAATCAGGAGGAAGCTTGGCGTTCACCACATTAACCTTAGGCATCACCTGGGCAAGTCACTCATCAAGAAAACAATCATGCAGCTGGAAACCATCATTCTTAGCAAACTATCACAAGAACAGAAAACCAAACACCGCATGTTCTCACTCATAGGTGGGAACTGAACAATGAGATCACTTGGACTCAGGAAGGGGAACATCACACACTGGGGCCTATCATGGGGAGGGGGGAGGGGAGAGGGATTGCACTGGGAGTTTTACCTGATGTAAATGACGAGTTGATGGGTGCAGCACACCAACATGGCACAAGTATACATATGTAACAAACCTGCACGTTATGCACATGTACCCTACAACTTAAAGTATAATAATAATAAATAAATTAAAAAAAAAAAAGAAAACAATCTACCTCTCTTGGCCTAGGAATCTCTCTTGAGTGCTTCTAGGCTGCGAGTGTCAAATGGTTCTTTAGAGATGCTGAGCAGAAGAGGATTTTCCATTTCACCTTTTGGCCTTCCCTTCTACCTCTTTCAATGAGGACTTGTGCTGCCTCCTGCCGGAGTGTTGTAAGGAAGATTAATTAGCTAATATCGGTTAAGGGCCTTTGATGATGACTGCTAAGTGTTTGCACCATGTAATTGCCATTTTTTCCAAGGAAATACCCATATAGTTACTAATTAGGCATTGTTGGAGCACCTCATGCCCTATTATTTTACAGTTGTCTTGTAATTAACTGGCATCAGTTCCATTTCAAATGACATTTATTGCCCATTTCCCTGGTTTAATTTTTGGAAATTTTATGGGAAGCCTGGGCATTGTTTCTTATTCACTGCAACTTGAATAATTAACAAGGTAAATATGGCTTTGGGTGGTGATATTGTCAACAACAAGAGTTCTTTAGAGATTTTAATTAAGAACACTACTGCTCTACTTTATGTGAAAGTTTATTATGGTGTCTAAGCACTCTAAGCTCTCCTCCATTGTGGATTGTGGCTCATGTCTGAGTGTTTGTGCCTGTGTGTGTGTGTGTGTGTGCGCGCGCGCTTGTGTGAATGTGTAATTTTTATGACAAATGATGTAACATGAGATATGAGAACAAAGTCCTCCTTTGGCTTACCCTTCTCAAAGGCACAAACTGGAGAAGCTGATTAATTAATTTTTTTGCCATTTTCTTGCTATAACCTAGAGACTTGAATTAACTCAAATCACACATCACTTGTTAAATACTATAGTATCAGTTATTGGACTAGTTGTGTTTCATGATTTCTTTAATCTTTACAACAAGTCAATGAGGTCTCTCACAATGACAAGATGAAGATTCAGAGAGGTTAAGTAAGATGTCCAGAGCCACATAGGTAGTAATAGATAAAGATAGAGCTCAAATTCAAGTCAGCCACACACTGAAGCCTGGGCCCTTTCCGCGCTATCTCTCAAGCAAAATTACTGAGCTTTCTACTTGGAAGTGAGTCTAGGTCACTCCAAAGGCCAACTAGTGCCTTCTCCAGGAAGTCTTGAATGATCATTTATGTAAGTGCATCTTCTCACCTCTACTCTGATATTACTTTCTATTGCTTCTCATAGTTTGACTTTTATTTAAGCTGTGTGCCAGTGGGAAGGACAATATAATGTGACACTTAGAAAAGCATGGAATTTGGAGACAACTGGAATGTATTCCTTATTCTGCCTTTTCCTATCTGAGTCATTTTGGACAAAATTCAGCACAGCTTAAGATTCATGTTGTTGATGTGAAGATGAAAGGAGAGCATGTGTGGAAAGTTCTCAGAATGTGTCATGGTACATGGGAAGCACACAATATATGGTGGCTGGTTGGATGGATAAAAACAGCATGAATGAAGGAATAAATGGCAGTGACCTTTGCTTGTTTATAGGATCACCTCTTCAACATTGCACTCTGTGTCAGTTCAAAATGTAATTTTAAAAATATAAAAATGAATCTCATAAAGACTTGAGGAAGTCAAGTATATCTGACTGAGTTCCAGACTGCCCCACTGTAGTAGAAAAACCTGACTAAATCACACTAATTATAATGGTGTATACAACTTCTTAAAAATAATGGCCACTAAGACCAGAATATGTTGATTATTAACTAGCTGAAATATGGGATCTATTGTGTTGTGAGTTCCTCCAATCTATTTCAGAATGAAATAGAACAATGGAGGCCAATAGGAGACCTGGACTTGAAATCACAGGGTTCTTATCAGAATTTCAATTCCAATTCTACCATGTGTAATTATCTATGTGACCTCTATACACAATAAGCAGTAAATTTCATGGAACTACCAAGACTCCAGGAAGCCGACTCTGAATTGGAAATATATTTGTGTAAAGTTTATTGGCGGTGTTTTCTGGAGCAGCATATGTCAGGGGGTCAGAGAAGCAGGATTGGGTCATACTGGTTGCAGGTGACTTCCCAGGCATTTCTGGAGTTGGAATAACCCTTCAGGGCCGAATTGAAGAAGGAATGCCAAGACTTTGAAGCCTTGCAGACTGTCCCCAGGAGAAGGGTGTAGCATTAGACAGAGGAGCTCTCTTTGGCCAAGAGAGGACATTTCCTGAGAAGAAACATGGCTGTGAGATATCAACAACCCATAATTCCAGCAGCCGTGGGCATGAGTTTCTCAGTTCTGGAATCTGAGTGCAGCACCACAGCATCCACTACAGTGGTGAAAGAAGCATTAGAACTCAGGAAACCTGACCCCTCATGACTTCATTGTAATTTCTTTCCTTGAAACTCAATGACTATTATCATTTTCACTTCACAGTTCAAAATATAGAACCTCAGAGTTAAGTAACTTACCTAACATGCCAGAGATTGTAGGTACCATGATATACCACTAAAGTCCATGCACATTCCCTAGGACCATACATCTGTCTACTTTGATAGCAAATGAAAAGTCACTCAATAGATTGCTAAATTGTTCAGCATTTAATCATTTGCTAAATCTCAGAAGATGCAAGGGGATTATGTGTGTATGTACTTGCACGCAATGTTTTAGAACAGGCAGATAGATATTAGCTGTTTCCCCCTGGAGGGTGGAAACACTCAAGACTTCAGAGGAGTAGCGGCAGAAAACCATTACAACACACTTCATATCAAGCAGATTTTGTGAGTCAAGTAATTGCTTGTAAACATAACACCATGCAATAAACCCAATATATATTATTTGGACTTCATAAAATAATTCCATATTATTTCTGTAAGTAATTTTTTGTATATCTCTGATGTTATGATGGACTCACTAGGGATATGGAGGTAAATGGAGCTTATAGATTGGTGATAGAGTTGTGTTGGATTTGGACTTGAATATTGCAAGAGGTTTCTGCAGATGTGGTCACCCAGAGAATATTATAAACAGACAGATAATAGTCTTAAAACTTAACCCACTCCATCATTGCAAATCTGAGATAAAAGGAGAGGAAGGAGGGAGGGGATTTACTGAAAGCAATAACTTATTCGCTCCAGCCTGGAAAATGTCCTACAACCTATGGAGCTGTACTAATGTGTGAATGGGCCTCAACATCAGTGCAAATCCCTGCAGGGTTAGTTGGTATAATCATTAGCCTACCCACTCACAGGATACCAGCTTCTGGGCATCAGGAGCTCATGGAGGCACAGTAGCACCATGAGACTTGTCTTCAAAACAGGACTGGTCCATGCATCCACTTCTTCCTCCTCATAGACCCCATCTGCTGTGGGAAGTTAGGGCTTCACTCTGAGATTCTGTATTTTCAACTGTAAAGTGAAAATGATAATAGTCATTAAGTCTAACCATCTCCATTTTCTTAATATTTGCTCTCATTAGCCTGGGCCACCTCAGGATCTGTGTGTCTGCCTAAAGGCACAAACAGTTCTCCCAGGCCTCTCCCAACTAAAATGTGAGAGCAGAGTCCAGCAGGACACTGCATTTGCAAGTAGAATGACATGGACATGAGTCATGATTCTATCACTTTGTAACCAGTAGGCTACTCAGTTTCTCTGGAGTTTGATTTCTTCATCTGCAAAATGAGGTTGGATGAGGGATAATAACCATTCACAATTGTGAGGAGCAAATGAGAATATTTGTGTTTTTAGAAGGAATTATATAAAAGTTCCATATAAATAATGATGTTGAGCTGAAGGGCTCTGCAGATGCATTTAGCCTGGGAAGAAGAAGATAAGCCTTTACTTGGAGGACAAGGCAGAATCACAGCTGCTGGATTTGTTCTGAAATGAATACAAGACACCTTTGTGAGCCACATTGACAAATTAGTCTGCCCCACTCCTCACGTGCTGGCTGTCAACTTGTGCCCCACTGCATCCTGTTCCCCATGTTCAAATTCAATGAAGGTCAGAGCAAACAGTCACCCATTGCAATTCTAGAAATCTGTTTTCTCCTACCCATTGCACATCTCAACCCATCACATTAGAATAACACAGTCAGATGCAATTAGCCTCAGACTATTCAATTACCCAACGGGTTTCCATATGTCATTAAGCATCGTCCTTGTGAGATCACAAGGGTGCCGCACACACAGAATGGTCATTTCTTCTACTTTGCACTTTCAGCAAATAAGACTTGAAGTCAGGTTGTCATGATAGTCTTGATTTAACATATCTAATTCCAGTAATTTAGAACTTTCATTGTATCTGAAAATGCTCAGGACCCATCACTGAGTGTCTATTTTGATTTCCCTGGAGGTTGAGAGGAGATGCCTTTCCAGGCTACTGAGAAAACACATCCTTCTTGGGCCTTCATTTTCTTGCCCAGGCTATTCTTCTTGCTATCAATATGTTTCCTTCTTATCTTAATTGGCAAAATCAGAACACAAGCTTCAAATTAGCCTCATGTGGAACTCACCTGTGCGTAAAGGTTTTCCTGAAGTTTGCAAAAGCAGAGGAAGTCACAGTCATGCCCCTTGTTCAAAACCCTTCTAAGCACATCAGCTCCAATTTCCAATTCTGCAGTTATTTGTTTAACTATATCCCTTTCCTGTAGACTGTGAAGTCCTTGAAGAATGGCACTGTATTTTGTTCATCTTTTTGATTCAGAACACTTAGTGTGAAATGAGCCTGAAATTATAAATTGAATAGATGAATAAATATACATAAATATAAAAATAGATACTGTTTTCAAATGTTTATTTTCAACAGAAATATTGAACTCGTTGTCTTTTTGTGAGGTGACATTCATTTTTTGAACACCATGCAAAATTATGCTGGCTATTTTCCAAGGAATAAAACAATGGAAAATTATACCAGAAAGATGAGATTTCTTCACTTCCTCCTTTCTCCACTGTGGGTAAGTTTATGATTTTTTTTTATTTCTGCGTTAGCTATGGGCTGCATAATTAACATGCATAATTATTTAGTGGACTATTAGACTTAATGATAAGCTCTGTCTGATATGCAGAATGATGTCTTGGAACTGTCACAGCTGAGTTGAGAGAAAGATATAGCTCAAGATGAATGGCTGAATTCAGATTAAATCATCACTCTTTGGGCATCTACTAAAGATTGGATATGGTCCTGAAAACATGACCTACATTATCTTAATAGCCAATTGACGCTAGCACTGCCGTAGTGCAGGTGTAGAAAGGGAGACCCACAGAAGTGATTTAATTTGCTAGAGATGACCCAGCTATTAAGCATATGCTGAGTCCAGATGTCCAGTTTCACACAGACTGGGAATGGGCTGGGATTCAGAGAGGACATGGGAGTGCTTAGCTAGTGGATGTGTCTCCAAGATAGCCAAGTCCGTGCCAACCCTGAGGTTCTGTGATCTGTGTGGCTTGGTGATGACCTCTACTGGCTAAACTTCCTGGGCTGGCAAAATGCAGTGAGGTTGGAGATGGTGGGGGGAAGAAGGGCAAAGGATCTAAGTTTGAGTATTAGTCTAGTCACCTATTGGATGCATTGGGTATTTCTTGCTTAATGCCACTGTTCTGCCTATGTCCTTCCATGGCTCCCCAGTGCTCTTTGCACAGAGATCATGACTCTGTCAGTTGCTGCATGGCCTGCCTCTCCTTCCCACTCCAGCCTCAACTCATTCCATACCCTGCTCCCTGCCTTGGGGCTGGGCATACCAGGAGGCTTCAGAGCCTGTTCTCTCTTGCCTTTGCAAGTGCTGTTTATTCTGCCTAGAATTCTCTTCTCATCTCTCTTGTGCCACCTGAAATAAAGCCTTTTCATCTTTTAGCTCTCAACCCAAGCGTTTCTCAAGGCAAGCCCTTCTGCTGCCCCAGGGCCAGCTCACCTTCCGCTGTGAGTCCCGGTCTTCCTTTCCTTCAGAGTACCTCACTTGCTTTGCAGGTAGCATTCGCTAATGGATTCGGTAATTAATATTGGTCTTTCCTTTTAGACTGGAATCTCCATAAGAGCAGGGACAGCGTAGCATGGCTGGCACAGATCGTGTTGTCTACTCACAGGCAGCTACTATCTAAACATTTGCTTGCCCTCTCTGAATCCCAGATAGCCTCCATTCTGTGTGAAACGAGATTATGGTGGTTGGCAAATCAAAATTTGTGATTCACTTTCAAAAAACTGTTTGCCATTTCTTCAGAGTACAAACTCTAATTGGTCATAGTGAATGAATGGAGAAGGAAGGAGTAGACACAACTGGTCTTATCATTGCTTAGCTGTCTGTAAGACTTGACAGACTGGATTAAGAAAATGTGGCACATATACACCATGGAATACTATGCAGCCATAAAAAAGGATGAGTTTGTGTCCTTTTTAGGGACATGGATGCAGCTGGAAACCATCATTCTCAGCAAACTATGGCAAGAACAGAAAACCAAACACCGCATGTTCTCACTCATAGGTGGGAACTGAACAATGAGATCACTTGGACTCGGGAAGGGGAACATCACACACCGGGGCCTATCATGGGGAGTGGGGAGTGGGGAGGGATTGCTTTGGGAGTTATACCTGATGAAAATGACGAGTTGATGGGTGCTGACGAGTTGATGGGTGCAGCACGCCAACATGGCACAAGTATACATATGTAACAAACCTGCACATTATGCACATGTACCCTGGAACTTAAAGTATAATAATAATAATAAATAAATAAATTAAAAAAAAAAAAAGACTTGAGCTGCAGAGTTCTTGTTATTTTGTGAGTTTTTGACCTCTGGAGGAGAATTCCAGAGCTGGTCTACCTATCTAACTAGGAGCCCATGTTCATAGTAAAATCAATTCTTCATGTAGTATAGAGTTGTGGGATTGGTAAAAGCATTGACTTTGGAATCGGACCGCCGGGATTCTATTACTTATTAGCTCTGTGAATTTAAGTGACTTACTTAACCTGTCTCTGACTCAGTTTTGCCATCTGTAAAGTGGGGGCTATTACAGTATTTATGTTGTATGGTTGTTGTTAAGATTAAATAATTTATATTTATTTTACAAAGTGTTTATAATAGTTCCTGACATATAGTACATGCTATATAAGTAATTTCTATTATTTTTATTTTTTTTGGAGATGGCACATGCTATACCGTTTCAAGTGCCAGCCCCTATAACCACTTCCTTCCTAGGCATCCTCCCATTTCCCCAGTAGCTATAGCTGTTTCTGCCTCCCTTCTAATCTGAGTTGCTAAAAATTGAGGGTGTCTTACTCGTAATCTGTGTTGGCTTATGACAATATTGGTTGCTTTTTCCCTCTATTTCCCATTGCAAAGGCTTAGTTCTCCACTAGTAGGAAATGGTCCTGTTGTCTCAATTATACTTGGGCTCTGCCCCAAGAAAATTTGATTGACCAGGTGCAATCAGGCAACAGGAGCAATGCTAGTGGGGGAGAGCTTGAGAAAGGTGGCTTTTGCTGGTTCATACCAGCAATGAACAGTCAATACAGTTCAGCTCCCCTGTGCTAAGTGGAGCTGCAAGTTTCAATGTGAGTCTGTGTGCTCACTCACTCTCCCCTGATCTCTCCGTGGGCTTCTTAGCTGGCAAGCTGGCATTACACAAACAGGAATGCTAATGAAATGCCTTTCCAAGATGGGCTGCCAGGCAATTTAAACACCGAACTAGTTATTAAGGCTCTCTAATGGCATAAGAGAGTTGAGACTACAGTCTGAGTTGGCTAAGGCAGAGAATGTTGTCTGGTATGGAAGACAGAATCCAGGCTGTACCAAGTAAGACATCAGTGACCTTAGGGAAAGTCCCTTCCTCTCTGTGGCCTTCCCCATGTGTTAAAGCAAAAAGCTCATTCATCCATTCAACACACATTTATTGAGCTTCTACTGTGTTCCAGGCACTGCTGGAGAGATGAACTCTCAGATGCATTATGTTGAAATCATTTTGTGAAATACATGACTGAAAGTTCCAATATGGTGAACCTGGGGACAGGAGCAGATGGACTGCAATATCTTAATCTGTGTAATCAACACGTGGCAGAAAGCGTGGTGCATAAGATGAGCTCTGAAAATATTTGATGTTCTTTTAAAAATTCTGCTTTTGACTTTCTTACTTTCTAAAATGTTTGTATACTATTTTATTGATGTAGTTTTTCATATTGATTATTTTCTTTCTTATATTTACTTTGGGTTTACTTTGCACTTCTTTTTCCAACCTTTGAAGGTGGAAACATGAACCACTCTTAGTCTTTTATTTTTATAAAGTTGTAAAATTTCCTCTAGCACTGCCTTAGCTGTGAATATTTTTTTATTTGCTGTATTTTTACTATGATTGTTTCAAATATTTTAATGTCCTTTGTGATTTCTTTTTCAACCTATGTGCTATTTGGAAGTGTGTTGTTTAATTTCTAAATATTTGCATATTTTATGTTTTTAGTTATTGAATTCTAATGTATTTCCTTTGTACTCAGAAATAGAGTTGGTAAGCACTGTGGTATTTCCTGCGAGCTCTCGAAGAGACTGGCTCTATATATGTACAACCTAGCTCTGGGCCAAGGATCCACTGACATTTCCCCATCCAGCATTCTGAGGGGTCTTGTCTGAATAGTGCCCTTCTCTTTGTTAATCTGCGTTGCAAATTCCAGTTTGCATTCGCAGCCCTCAACTTTAATCTCTGCCACCCCAGCTCAGCAACACTGCCGTGCTTTCCTTGGGCTCCATCTCCTCGTGACATGCAGATCCCTGAAAATTCCCTACGGCAGAAAGTTGAGAAACATCGATCTCACCACACGTGTTTGCTTTTTTGCTAGCATTGCAGTCCTCCTCCAAAAAATGCTTCACCTATTTTGTTCTGTTTCATAGTTGTTTACCTTTGTGAAGGGAGGAAGAACAGTCTAGGTAACACCCATACTCTGTTGCAGCCAAACCCAAAATATTACTTTTTAATTTAATCTTATTTAAGTTGTTAATATTGACATAACCAGGTGGGTTCTGGAAGTTTAGGTTTTAAAATGCATATTTTTAAATTTCCAAAGTGTGCTTATTTTATTTTTGCCAGGGCCATCTTTTAGGTTTTTAATGTAACTTTTCTTTGCCTATCTAATTGTGATTTATTTCTGTTTATACATTTTGAAGAAAAAATTATTAAATCATCTTTTTTGCCATTTGTGAGCTTCCATCATTTCGAGCAACTAAGTTGTGCCTGCAATTGCTATATAAAACCTCTTTCTAACAATATCTGAACAGTGCTTTTTACTTGATGTTTTTTTAAAGATAACATAAAGAACTAGTTACAAATGACTAATTTAATACATAAGGTCAACTGTGAATGACTTACTAATTGGTTTACTTAAGCACAATGTCATCATCTCACAGTGAAATGATATCCTGATAAATCTCTAACAGGTCGATGCCTCCCGTCTGTGCCCACTCAGGTGACAGTGAGTACTTTAGTAACATATTCTGGGTAATACTGCTCTCTTGTGCTTGATTAGATGTTCTTACTAATTCATGTCTGATTTTACACATTTTGCTGAATCTCTTCTGTGGTTCATGCTTGTCCATGCCAGGTGTGCCAAATAATTCTGTTTCAGATAAGTCACTACCTTGTATCTGTGTGGAAAGTGTAACTCCAGAGACTTCTCAAATTCTTCATTTGTAATTCCTTATAGAACACCAATTATGAACAGCTTTCATTTATTGCACTTTTACAAAAGC